TTCACCTCAAAGACCCTGTAATTGATTCCTATGGACTTCTGAATAAGAAGCTATAGGGGTTCTCAGTCCTCTGAAGTCTTAAGTTTTAACAGGTGGCTGAATATATGTACTATATACATGTAGTACCTAAAAATTCTTTCAAATTTGCTCCAGATTGTAACGCTGTTGAATTTTGTTACCAATGAAGAATTAAAAACTACATTTTGAATGCAAAGATAAGGTAGGAACTAAAGAAAATAATTTTTCATATGTGACAGATAAGGCTTGAATAATGCCTGTATCAATAAAGAATGGCTACAGTCAAGTATAGCAATATATTTCAATAGAGAGAGCTCTGTATATGTATGTTAAGTGTCTAAGGGTTTGCGATGATGGTTTTACAGTACATGTGGCCTAATGTTTAGAAAAACCAAGGACATTATACAGTCCTTGGAAAAACATTTTGACATTTTCCTCGTGCCGAAGAGAGGCAAACCCCACAGACAATGTTTATTAACAGAACACTTTGTCTTTCAGTAAAACAATCAATTAGAAAGTAAAGCACGCACATTACTTTGGATTCTACATGTACATCAGTGTATTAAAATTTTGTGCAGTTTACTGATATACCCTAGATAGCCTTTAATGTTTGAATTCTTTACCTCCTTGAAAAAGTGTTATGCGAATGATTGGGTAGTGTGAAATTTCCGCTGAGCTATTTAATCTCCTTGATTTATGACACTCCAACTTGTTTAGTGTAAAGCTGGAAATGTCTCCGGTACAAGACAGGTTACGGAAAGATATTTCCACACAAGTGAACTGGCTGTCCAGCTCTAAATTGAGCTGGCAAGGTTGTCTTGTGGTTATAGGGTTGTTGACTCAGAATCTAAAGGTTAAGGGTTTGAATCCCTGGCAGGCGCCAATGTTGTAATCTATTGGGGAGGCACTTAACACATATTTCCTCACTTGACTCAGGTAAAAACTACTACTTAAACACTTTAGTTGGGAACTTCTCTCTGATAGGACGTAAAGCTGGAGTTCTTGTGTTCGAGGAGAGCCACATCTCAAGCACGTCAAAGATCCCACCGCACTTATCGTAAAGAGTAAGGGTCCAATATTCCAGGTGTGAGTGGGTCAAGCCTCACTGAATGTCTCAATCTAGTTCTGGGTTGACATTTTGAAAAGGTTGCTTGTCACGTCAATCCCTGCTGGACCACAGATTTGGTAAATCTCAATAGAATTATGAATGAAATAGATAACAGGTGGAAATGGAACTGAATCTACTGATTGTATCATTGCTTTCTATGTAATGGAAGTGTCCCAGACTTCAGAAGGATTATATCAGACCTTGGAGCAAAAATTTAGCAAAGTACTAAGTACACCATGCCAGATGTACACAGTCGATGGTAAATTGTTTTTACTTATTCCCTTTTAGACTTTTAGGCCATTCGTGACATGTGTTTTGTTGCATCATGTTTTAGTCATGTAATTTCTAGTCTCTGATTATTTTCCTGGGTTAGGGTTAGTGCTGGGGTCCCTGACACAGTTTGGTTGGGCAGCAGTTGGCTAGTCAAAAGCAGGGTTCTAGCCAGCACCCGTTTTTCCGTCAGTTGCAGGAACTTTGTGGCATGTGACGGAAAAAAATCTCAACCAGTTCGTCAAGCTTGACGGACAGAACTGATATAAATCTTGGGTAAAATAATAAAAACATCCAAAGGACCGCCAACAGCCACTCTCAACCCCATTACATGCCTCTCAAAATTGCAGCTTTTAAAGTCTTGAAAAATAATACAAAATTGGCTGGGCTGAGGGAAAAAGATTAAGCTGCGTAGACTAGGGCCCTGGTCAAAAGCATACTGTATTTGTCCACTCTGACTTACACTTCATGTCCTATACTAACTCTGAAGGTTACATCTAAGGGGTTACTGCAGTTCAAGTTGAAATCTGACAAGCAGCTTTTCTCCTGGGTCAGTAGCTCGCTCCGAATTCGGTGAAATCCAGCTTCAATTTCACTCAATGGTGGTTTTATAAATCCTCAGTGGAACCTGACAATAAACATGCATGTATTACCCATGCCATGATACCAGGGGATTTAAACCTTCACTGATTCTAGCGCAAATGTCAGCTGAATAAAAGAAAGAGTTGTGTTACCATAGACTTAAGTATAAAAGGTTCTATACTGAACCATGTACCAGATGCACATAGTACTAAAAGCCCAAATGTACACGTGTTTCTCTCTAGACTCTTACGACTAGATCTCCCCTGAGGTCTACATGCATGTGCATTTTGGGAATAGTCAACCAAAGTAACTTAAAACTTATAATTCTAGCTTATCACTATAGGCCTCTTCAAGCTTAAAAAGGCTACAACAATGTTAATTGTTGGTCTACATGCATGTGCATTTTGGGAATAGTCAACCAAAGTAACTTAAAACTTATAATTCTAGCTTATCACTATAGGCCTCTTCAAGCTTAAAAAGGCTACAACAATGTTAATTGTTGGTCTACATGCATGTGCATTTTGGGAATAGTCAAAGTAACTTAAAACTTATAATTCTATCTGTAGCTTATCACTAGGCCTTTTGATGCTTAAAAAGGCTACAACAATGTAAATTGTTGGTTTTAAAGAAATTGCTGAACTGGAGGATTGATGTAAAAGTTAAAGCAGAGTCTATTCGGCAATCTGTATCATGATGGTTAAGTATAAATTACTCATTCTGTTTATAATGAATTGAACATAGTCAGTCAATTCAAGTTTTCCCCCAAGACTTCTGTTTCTATAAAAGTGTCCTCTTGCTAAATTTTGGCTCAAACATGTCACTGAACAAAAAAATTAAAAGTCTGGCCTTAGGTCAATGTTATATGATACAAAACAACAATGCTATATATAACGTTATATCATACCACTTGAAATTTTAGACATAAACATGATGTGTGGTTATTGGAACAATAACAGATGAGATGACTTAGTTACAGTTTATACAAAATGTACCTTGTGGTTTTTGCATTTTACTCAGATACAACAAGTAACTGTAAGAATAACAATCAGTCCTGTCAAACACATTCAAATCACCATGATGATACAGTTACTGTTACAGTAGTAACTATTCCTTTTCTATGGAGATGGTTAAAAATGAGTTGTAGGAGTATACAAGAAGAGAAACTAAATGTTATAGGTAAATACAACTATCATGCAATGCCATATACATTGTAAAACATTTCAGACATTGATAATTTGACAGAGATGGATGGAAAGTTTGGCTTCCCTGGTCAGTGTAAACCGACTACATTTAAAGAGCAAACAGTCAACAGCCAAACAATGCACAGTGTTGTTTCACTGGTTACTGACCTAAACATTGCCTCACGTATAGTACACAGTGCATTACCTTCTAACATTATAACAAGTCACGATTGTGGTGACTGTGTTTTCTCTAGGCAGGTAATGAAATAATCACTGTGGCAATGGTTTTGTTTGTATCTGTCGTAACTGGGAAGGTCCATTATTAGATTCGAGAAGACAAATGAAACTACCAGTAGTGGTTCGTACAGGTTACCTGGAAAAATAGCTGTGTTCTTGGAAAATTTGGCCTTACAGTTCATAATATAATTGGTTTAAGCCCTGTAAGACTTAAACCTATTTCTGGAGCTGCTATGGATTAACTTTTCCGTGTAGAAAGTTATACTTCTACGGTATCGTCACACCACTTTCCCAGAAAAACTGTACACGTAAATCATTCTCTTAGTCTGACAAAAGTTATTTGCGAGAATGCAGAGAATTCAATCAAGGGTGCCAAGGGAAGCAAGCATGCTTGGGTGATGCTGCCCCAGAAATCAGTTCCCAAGACCCAGATCCAAAACCAAATCTATCTTGTCTCTATCTAAACACTCTGTAGACAATGTACTGACTAAGGACAACACAAGATACGTAGTACTACATACTTTTCCTAATGCATGATTGTGTAATTATACCGTACTGTGGAGTCGTTTAACACGTGTGTAACATTTAGGAAATCCTTACCAATTGTTTCTATGTTCAAAAACAACAAAAGTTTAATGCATATACATACACTCTGAGACAAGAAGGTCATAAATACATGATTCAAGCACCTGAACATTTTACGGTCGACCTATGCATATGTAACGTTATACAATTTTGTGAGTGCTCTCACTGCAAATGGCTTTAACCTATAGGTACAATGCGACATTTTATTCATTCGAAACGTTTTCATCCCAAAATCAACTCTGTCCCACTTATGTGCTTAATGAAAATGTAATGTGTAGATCCTCGTAATGGCATTAAAAGCCGATTATAAACTTTAAGACTAATAGCTTGGACCCTCCCTGCAGGGTTGAATAAATTGTTTGATAGAATCCCGGTGACAGCAAATGTAGTTCCTCAGTGGGACAGCTGGTGCTAGCATGCGCTGACTTTACTCACAACCTTGGTCCTATTACTGTGTAGTCATATCCAGTACAGCAAATAGATACTTTGTAAATGTTTTCTTACGCCTACCTCGCTGTCATTTTGTGTTTCCATGTTTACTATCTATATTATTTTATGTAGCTCAACCTTGAAGTTGACTCTGAAATCTGTTCCTTTTCTTGTATGATGGAGAGTTGTTGCCAATATAAAGTTTGAACAAGAAATAGGGGTGTATAATGTTACCTGGTGTCCTATGCAAGAGTAGACATGAATTTTCACACTTTCAGTGAGAATTTATGTCCAATTTGTATGTTAATCCAGCAGACAACTCTCACTGTGGTCTTTGTAATTGGTTTTCCCTCCTTTTGGGGGATAGAATCCATTTTTCGTCAATTATTCAACATCTTTACATCATTCATAATCATAAAATCATGCACAGGGCTCCGAGCGCGTGCATTTTGCTCCTGAAAACTCACGGTCCATGACTTGTCAGTCATTTTCCTTAATTCATTAACCACAGGTAGACTTAAGACTTTTGATCCAGTGTGAATTAGAAAAGACTTAATCTCACCTGGAATTCTGTTCTCGCCCCCCTGCAGTGACAAGCACGGGAAGCTGGCGCTCTCTCCGAAGCAGAAGACTCGATTCGCTCGATGGGTCAGGTATGTTGGCTTGCTCACTACAGTAGTTGAAGTAAGTAACAGTAAGGGCTAAAGGTGGCTACTACTGCTAACCAATAGCAACCTGATCTACAGATTTGACTACCTGTTCCACTGGTCTATTGTGATGGAGATGAGAGGGGGACTCCCTATAATTACCTATAATCAGGGGTGACAACTGGTGCGGGTACGGGTGGGAAGAACCTTTTAAGGACTGGACTATACCATCTCCTGGAAGGAGGGGCCATAGCACGCGTGAGGGAGAAGATGACTCTGAAATGGTTTAGTCCACGAGGAAGCCATAAAAAGGCACGGGCTGACAGTTATCAAATCTAGTGATTTATTTTTGGCTGTCCTACGCTATCTGATAGTACTTTATCTAAACTATTTTGAGAAGACGTCTTTAATTAGTCCTTATTTGTAGTCTGTTATCTCAGTGCCAATGAAAAACCTATGGTTCAGTCCCAAGGGAAGAATATGCAAATGAGATCTAGAGATCCTCACAGTTCTGAATACTATGTAACCAAAAGTAGAGAGAATCCAGATCTAGCAATCATGCGAGATTTTATGCTTTGAAAATTGATTACAGACTACTTGCTGTAACAGGTGTCTGTTTCTGCTAAACATCACTGTTCTCTTATTAATCTAGTATCTCTAATCTCAGTATCTTAAAAAGATACTAGATCATATCAGATTCTTACTACTGGTAATAGCATGGAGGTACATGTACAATTAACCTCCATGGTAACAGTAAGAATCTTAGACTAATGTTCACAAGGAATATATAATGTGATTCTTTAAAGTGTTACTGAATGTTTGTTTCAAAACAAAGAATTCATTCATAAACAGGTGGTCTGGGAAACTACATGTAGGTGCTTCCAGTGTTCTCTTGACAAGATGATTTAGAGTTTAACCTATCAATTATAGAGGGCCTGCAAGCCCTTTTTCGTAAGGTGTAATCAGGCCGTTTTAGACTCCGTAATTCGAAGGCAGCCTCCGCAAAAATCAACGTAATTCGTAATAGGACATTAGCCGCAAATCGTAAAGTCGTAATCAGCTCTGAGACTTTAACGTAATTCGTAATTGGCGGCGAAAATTTTGCGTAATTAGTAATCACTACCCCCCCTTGCAGGCCCTCATTATAGGCTTGCCTATGGGCAAAACGATTTTCTTGTCAAACAAGCAGTTTTATCATGACCAATCTGTCAAATGAATTTAGCTTTTGATAAATGCGTAGTATGCACATGAAGGAAAAGTTGCAAAACTTTCTGCACTATTGAAAAAAGTTCAATCATTTCAGCTGAAAATTGATGATCTAACATTCATCAATTGATAAATGTTTAAAGAGATGCCTGAGGCAGGACACTGTTTAATGCAGAAAAAAAAACATGACACAGTTTCCGCTATGTTTACGTCAAGCAAGATAATTTGAGAGATAATAATGACGTTACGAAGTGTTCTGTTGCAACAAAGTGAGTCATAACTCATGACTTCTGGCATTTCCCAATTATTTATAGCATAAATCCTTCCTGGACATAACCCAAGAGATTTAATAATTGAGTACTGAATGTTTTTTGTGTAAACTTCAGTCGTAACGCATGACGCATCTCAGAAATATAACCCGAGTGCAGAACCTACTATACGTAGATGAAATAGATTATATGATCAATTGCCCTGGGAGTTTATTTCATCGCTAAAGCAACTGGCATCACACAGACGCAATGTCTGGTCAGTGACCCCAAAAGGCATAACAAACCTTCAGTTTCTGCTATGGCAACAGCAAACAATGTAAAATCCATCGTGGAACACTTACAGGTATTATAGAGTTTGTTCTCGAGGGAGTGATTTCATTATTTGGGAGTCATTCAAGTTTGATTTCTTGGAATCGCAATATGAAATATAACCAAAACCCAGTACCTTGGATGCTATTTTTCATATTGAGAGCAAATATTATACAAAATTTGCCATTTGGTTAATTTTATGGTACTGTATAGATGCCAGCAGGCAAAAACTTAGCACACAAAAAATGTAACACAATTTTTACGTCTTTAGTCATGGTGTGTGTCAATCGATTTGTCTTTCCAGAAGGTTTTAATGTAAAAAGATAAAGGAAGTCAGTAAAACATTTTAATGACTGCTGAGGATGGGCAAGTCAAAAGAAAAGTTGTGCAATTATTATAATTACATCATGACATAACTTTACAGCACAAATTAACACTCACCAAGTCTATGACTGATTCCACTTCCTTGTTTAGGAGAACTGACCAAATAACATCTTATAAAGGTCGAAAATTTTCTTCTTTTGACACCTTTACAGTGATTTAAAAAAAGAAAGAAATTCCCCTGCGATTCAGAAATGGAATGTTCCGGGAATGTTGACTTTAGACTCCAAGTAAGGTCGATCACCACCATTGCATCGTGGGAAGCCTCCCAGCTGATGAAACGGTAGTCCAACTTCGAGTTGTTTTGTCAGGCGTTGAACAGAAAGCCAATATGTTTACAAAGCCAAAGTTCTTGGATGCCAGCTTTTCTTTGCTATTTGTGTTCTGCAAATATCACCACAGTCAACTATGTATATAAGGCCAATTTAAAGGGCAAAAGCTCTCATGATAGTTTCCAGATCAAGTAGAAAAAGCAATCTAAGAGACTTTCTCAAGCCACCAAATTATTAGTTTTGTTGAATTTTCCTTGTAATCTTCTTTTGGAAAACAACTGAAATTGTTCTGTGTGCATTTGAGAAAAGTTTAAGACTACATGATTGTGTAATAATTGTTACTAACCCTTAGTTCTTCAAGATAGCAATGATTATCGCTGATCAACCATTGATCGACCAAAACTGGATTTGTGTGATCCGTTGTTTTATAATAATTATTGGAAAATGATGCGTAATATAAAAGTATGATCCAAAGGACAATATACAAAAAGAAGATGTACAAAATTTTACAAGATTTGAGATTTTGAAACTGAGTTCTTTATCTGCAATATTATAAAATTTGTTGAGTATCCTGTCAAATGTTTGTCATCACTTACAAGATTCAATCATACCAATTGAAAGCTTCTGCTAGATCTAAATTATTTTCTTATATCCCAAATTTGTATCTGCCCAGGTTCATTATCAGATTTGGGGGGCGCTCGCAATCTAGGGGGTCTAGTGGCATGCTCCCCTGGGCAATTTTGGATTTTCAAGCCTTCAAAAATGCAATTTCTTACATTTTGAGAGGCAAATTGAGAGTAGTTGTCGATTTTCATATTTTTGCCCAAGATTTTTGTTAATTTCTTCTGTCAAGGTTGATCAGATTGGTTTTAACATTTTCGTCACACACTGCAAAATTCCGGTACCTGTCAATGAGGTCCAAATGTACATTCATTTGAACATGAAAAGCTTTAAGTTTCATCAAACACCAGAATGAAAAGCATGACAAAAAATAATGAGTTCTATTTCCACAGTTGAGAGTGACGTATGATATTTCAACTTTGTATGATCCATGTTTTCATTGATTGGGCAAAGCTTAAGACATATAGTTCCTTTCCTGTGTATGAATCTCTCCATACGTCTTTGTCACAGTTTTATGATAGATTATAAACTTGACTCAACCATTGTCATTAAACACTGGGCAAGTTTCCCAAAACTGCTCAGTGCACGAAAGTTTTTAAACAAGATGTAGTATGAGCTTCATTCTAATAAAAAAGACACATAACAGCTCTGTTTAACATGATGAAATCTTTGAGTAGTCTCCTAGAACAGCTGTCTTATATAACAGAACATTAGACTGATTTATATGCTTATTTCTTGTCACTGTAACATACAAAGTGTGTTCAGCATATGGTGTAAGAACAATTACCCTCTGTAATTATAGTATATCACACATTAGTGTATCCCAGTTAGAAAGCATTACAAGAATAACTGTTAGATGATGAACTGTACGTATCATTCCAATAATGAACTCCGAGGGTTTTGACAAACCGGAAAGGGCAGGTCGGATATTGCGCATTGCTAAACGAGTTGAACCCTAACCTTCCGCACTTAATTTTCCCTTAAAGACCCTCTCGGGGTGTTTCCTCTTGTTTAGGAGTCACATACCATGGCAACGTTGAGAGAAAAAACATGGGAAATACACAGCTGTGCTTTTTCGGATGCGGACAAGTGTGGTGGGTGCATTGCTGGTTAGGGTTGGTGGAATTTCCGATAAGTTCAATATTGCGCTCTGTGAGTTAGTCTTCAAGCCTTTCTTTAAAAAGGAATTTCTATTTTTAAATCGTCATGCTTATTGAAATGTGATGTATTGGAATGAAAAAAACCAGGAAAGGTAAAAAGTTAAACTGTATGTTTTCTTAATTTTGTGGCGATTTAATCATAAAAAGCCTGGTTGAAGCAACCATTATACAGTGTGATGAATAAAACCATGAGCAAAAAGGCACCACAAATATTTTATGATTAATTTCACAGTGCCAGGAGTCATGTATGTAGGAAATAATCATTATCTGATGCATGAATATTAATATAAAGATTAATATCTGACATAAGAGTTGGTAGAAAGAAATTAGCTCATTTCGTGATAGGAGTTTAATGTGCCATTGTTTGACAGTATCTCGAAATCTCATAACACATTTGTCATAACAAAGGCTTAACTCAATTTCTCAATTAGCAACAACTTGTAACCAAGATGTGAACATTTCCACACATTGTTACCCTGGATCTCTCAAAGAAGCATTGGCTTCTTTGGTCTGGAAAACTGGACAAAAATTAATCAATACATGAGCTGAATACCATTGGTCCATAAGATCCCCCTTGTGTTATAAATTAAAGGTTTTAACAAGATGTGGAGAGATATTTCTAGTCATAGCTGATGGCCCCAGCTAGCCTGCACACTCAGGCAGTTTAGCTAATGCAAGATGCACCTGTTAATTAATTCTGAGCCCGCCCACCTGTTCTGGATGTGGTTGACCAGTCTTTCATCGACCAGGTCTTTTAGCCCTTAAGGAGGGCCTGCAGGGGGGGTAGCGATTACGAATTACGCAAAATTTTTGCCGCCAATTACGAATTACGTTAAAGTCTCAGAGCTGATTACGACGTTACGCTTTTCAGTTAATGTTCTATTACGAATTACGTTCATTTTGGGGGAGGCTGCCTACGGATTACGAAGACTAAAAAGGCCTTATTACGCCTTACAAAAAAGGGCATGCAGGCCCACCTTAAGTATAAGGCTAATACTTCTCTAATCACTCCCAACAATGAGAGGCTTAACCTCTCATACACAAAAGTGATCCTATGATAATACTTTTATTGATTACCAAAGTTGTACTGGTTCACCCTACATCTTAGCTGGCCTCCTTGTAGAAATAAACAAAGGAAATTAGTTAAGAAGTAATGAGGCCTAGGAAAAAAATGCTGTTTCCTGTTCCAGTCCTAAAAAAATTAGGGTCAGTACTTGGTAGGTAGGGATTATCTTTTTTTTTTCTTTATCAGACTCTGGTGATCTCTATAGTGATCCAAATTATACAATACAGGTGAACAAAGTAAAAATTACATAAGGACACTTACATATAATTAATGTCAATGTTGAAAAACCAATTGTACAACATTTCATCGATCACTCGGGTGTCAGAGCTGGAAATGGTCAATCAGCCTGAAAAATTTATGTCCCTTGCAGCCTTGCAGGGGTCCACCCAAAAAAAAAAGACTAGGGTCAGCAGTTTTTTCTAGGGTCGGTGGAGAAGTAGGAAACACAACATTTATTTCCTAGGCCTGAAGTACTACAGTAACTGTTTAATGAGAAGTATGGTAAGTTGAGCCTCAACTGTTGAACAATAAATGGCACCTGCAAATATCAGATGGGGTTTGAAATAATGGAGGTCAATGACACCTATAGACGCTGAGGCCTTTCATTGACGTCATGATAATTGTGATTTGAATATCCAGCGACCGTATGGCTGGATAAGTGGATTATGGCAGCATGCTGTCGTGTTAACAGACGTACACTGTGATCCAACATGGTGTAAGTGACGTCACATGAAAGACTTACTAAGTAGACATACATTTGTACTTAGACCACACCAATTCAATTTGTTGGTTCACAGATTTGCACACTTCATTTTTTTCTGATTTACAAAAAAAAATAAAAAATTCCAGCCCCTGAATTAACTCCAAAATTTTCCATATTTTGGCCCCAGCAATTGAAGGAAGACCCTTCTTTTCAGAGTTATTACATTTTTTCCATCTATCAATGCAGTGACTTGATTAAAAGTTGAAATTCATTGTTTGAATTACAAACCAGCCTGATATGTTGGTTTCATGGCTCCTATCATTGGATTTTGGGCTATCATAGGATACCTAGGTCTTTTTTTCCCTGTCGCTTAATATTTTTTCTGAAAAAATCTGAGAACCAACAAATCAAATTGGTGTACATCAGAAAAAGACACCTTCCATTTGTGACATGTAAGAAAATGAAAATTGTTTACTGCTTGTGCTATAACACTTTGTGTCATTTCCTTGTCATTTCAGACCAGATGAGTTTTGTAGCAGTCCTCAGATGATCATGGCCATCTCCAGTTTTAGCATTAAACAGGTTAGTGTTTAAACATTCTGCCGTTTAAAACTTTTTGCCACAGTTGGATGATATCCAGACACCGTGGATTTGGAAGGAAAGCTAATTTAAAATATGAATGATGAAAATAATGTGGCACATTCCCTAGGCCTGCGGATTTGTAATCTGGGCAGACATCTGGCTTTCATGCAGTCTCTGTGAATACAAACTAGTATAATAGCAAACATTATATAACGTCTAGATAACATTCAGTGGTACCTATATATAGTTCCCCCATGTATTTGTATATCCGCCACACTGAAAAATGTATCTACTACAAATTTCCAATTCAATGTCTGCCAGGAAAATGCACTGAGTCTAGCTCCTGCTTATCTAAACTGTACAATATACCTAGGGGGCAGCTGCACTTGAGACCTCTCAGACTCACTATTTTCAAAGTGGTGAATACATGTAAGTGATGTAACCCATTGGTTAAATGTTAATGGAGGTTATAATCTTCGGAGTCATGTGTGGCTATCTATTGTCTCCATCTGTAGCATGCTAGCATTTCTGTCTTGTATTATGATATGACAGGCAGAATTGCTATGTCGTAACAGTGTTGTTTGTGATGAAACATTCAAATTATATACATTGTAGCTTGTAGGTCCTCTCAGATCAAACGCCATCGCAAAATCCCCCCAGTGATTTGCTTTTCCCTCTTTGATTATCCCAAGTTTTCTCTTTGCTTAAGTATACTGACAGTCATTATTATAACGATAGACAGATTGAAAAAAAAGGTTTTGGAAGCAATCAAAATAACATGCGGCATTGCATAATTGGCAGGTGGTTTTGCAATGGAGGGTAAGAAGCACTTCACCTAATGGACCTGGAACCCACCTGTACTGAAGTAAATGTAGTGGAACTAATGTGCCCAGTTCAGTCCCTACCCTGCTGACAGGATTATTTTTGAGTAGAAATTCAGTCAGTGTGATTGAAGTTCACTCTCACTCTCACACACTATCTGGTTTAGCATCTGTTTCCCGTCTTCCGAGGGTTAGATGTCCTTGTACACTGATGCTGAGGCTTGATGGCAGCCTGTCATTTGCCTCTGTCCTTTGGGTTCACGTTATGTCGTATGATTTTCCAAATTCCTTCAGGACATCTATCTAGAATGTCCTTCAGGAATTATAACCAGGGGCTTGTAACATGTACACATCATGTATATCCTAGATAAGTATCAGTCTGTCAGTAGAGACAAGTAAAGATGTATAGTTTGTGGCATTATACATAAAATATTTTTCATCTGTACTGTGTGACAGTAGGTTTCATATGGTTGCTTTTCCTAATTTCTTTCTTGTGAAAATTATTCATTTACCATTCTGGTGCGACTTACAACAGAGTCATATCAGCTCTGAAGACACTCTCACAGCTCCTCTTAACTTTTAGCACACTGAAGTAGCCATTTCACTATGGATCCTTTTAATACTGGGTATGGAATTCAGCAGCAAGAAGGTTAACTTGGGGTTGTTGGAAGGAGGAGTCCAGTCCGATTGGTGGAAAAAGCAGTCCAGTCCGATTTGGGGGTGGAAAAAGCAGTCCGGTGGTTTCTACGAAATTCTACGAAAGACCACAGGCACATTTTTTTTCTTGTGTGTGTACTTCGAGTTTCTATGGGTACTTCGAGTTTCTATGAGTACTTCGAGTTTCTATGGGTACTTCGAGTTTCTTTGGGCACTTAGAGTTTCTATGAGTACTTAGAGTTTCTGTGAGCACTTAGAGTTTGTATGGGAACTTAGAGTTTGTATGGACTCCTTTTTCCACCAACCCGGTTAACTTGAGTTTCTCTGTTTTACCCCAGACGGTTGTGTCTGACTGTTCCTTTGTTGCATCATTGGGTATCAGTGCTGCATACGAGAGAAGATTCAAGAAGAAACTGATCACAAGGTTTGTTACAGTTGTAGTTATTCATAAAAGTAGTTATCAGATTATCATATATTATAAATTTACACCACAGTTTATAAATTATGATGATATGAAGTCAGGAAATATATTTTTGATACACTCACAATATATCTGATCTTACTGGAACTTAACTCTATCTTGTCCTTGTTTGCAGCATCATCTATCCACAGAACAAGCGAGGAGAGCCACAGTACAACCCTTGTGGGAAGTACATGGTCAAACTCAACATCAATGGTGTGCATAGAAAAGTAAGTCAGCTCCTGCAGTTCTTTCATATCTCAGTAGGTGGTACTACTTCACTGTTACAGTATGTCTGCATTAATTAAAAAAATTGTCAAGACAGACTATGAAGTTGAACTGTGCAACAATTCTAGGCAGTTACCACTAGGGAATTATAATTTTTATAACATTTTCTCATTAATTATGCACATTAAGTCTTCATTTGCATACTATATATTCGTTCTTAATTACATATGTCACAACCTTGAATAGTCCTATCATGGAATGCAGCTGATTTCTAGAATTTCCTCATCAATGATGCAAATTACATCGGATTCCATATTTGCATAATTGACACATAATTATGTCAAGCATCACTTAAGCTACCTACAAACCAAAAATCACAGCAATCCATCAATCGCTTCTTGGGTTATCCCACTTAAATATTTTCAGCAAACGCACCTGCAGTTCCAGAGCAAGCTGCTAGGAGACTCAAACTCATGTCACTTCTTCCCTAGCACAAGAGCTAAAAAATAGTATCTACATGTACAGGTACCTTCTAAATTTCTTGACCGGATTCATGAGATTTCAAAACCTGAAGTTCTGCTGCAGTACCTCGACAAGCTGCCAGGGGGCCTAGAATCTAATCACTTCGAGATCTTATCAAGACCTACCCACTTACCAAATATCAAGACATTGATCCATCAAATCCTTCTCGAGTTATCATGTTTACACACACACACACACACACACACACACACACACGTCGATGCCCCTGAAAACATAATCTTCTTGGAAAAGGTAATTATGTCTCTCTTTGTTTTGCTATGTTCATTTTTCACATAATGTAGTACAATTAGTATGTAGCACATTACTTTTCGGCTGTTTCCAGAAAAATAATTTTCCTCTACAATATTGAAAATGTCTCTGCAAAATATTCAGTCTGCAGGTGGTTATTTCTGATCCAAGGACTCCAATCCCATGCGGCTCAGACTTAGATATTTAATGTATTAACCTCATGTTAAAACATGATTTCCAACCAGACCTAAAAAAAATGTATTATGTACGTGTACATTATATCCGGGACATAAACATTTAATTTAAGGCTCAGTGCGTGTTGCTGCCAATAAGCGAACAGAAATCTGTAACCACGATGGCACGAAACAAGGCTCTGCTGTACTTCCTACTCGTGGTTTCCAATCAGCTACTGCTCGTGTCGGCGCCAGCTTCACGGTGCCCTAACAGCTGTCGCTCCTACTCCGTAAACCTGTTGGGAACGAAGCGAGTCACCTGTCACTGTCCAGATAAAAACTGGGCGGGTTCCCCCTGTAGCTGGATTGGGTACGGAGGAACGTATCGCTTCCCCGCATGTCTTGACGCCATACCAACCGGCTTTGTCAAGGACACGTCAACAATCGTCATCAAGCATCTCCGTTCCTCTACCATTTCTGAGTGGTCATTCCCGAATAGCCAAGAAGTTCAGTACCTTTGGATCTGGAAGTCCAACGTGTCCACGGTGCAGCCAGGGGCTTTCAAAGGTCTGCCATTGGTGAAAGACCTTTCCCTCAGCGACAACCGTATCTCCAGTCTTGGTACGTTGACAAAAATGTGTATTTTGGCCTCCTGATGTTTAATTTTGTTGCTTTTTGGAAAAAGTAATATGAATCCTCGATACCATCACTAGTATTTCATGTTTGATTTAGAAATCACAGAAAATAACCAACATGTAAAATGACTGGAATAATGAACTATTGTTTAATATGTTATAGGCCCCTTCCCCACTAGGATAAATTTGTACTGAATCGAGTTGAATAGATTAGCTAACTGAATTGATCTGCCACCTATATGTATCCGGCTCAGCTGCAATCCACATTGCCAGGTGGATTATACAAATTAATGTGAAGTTGACCAGATTAATTCTGCCAGCTAATAATCTATTCGGCTCGATCTGGTACAAATAGAAAATATGTGGTGTGGGTTTCTGGTTGGTTTAATATTGTTTTGATTCATAACAATACACAAATTTAAAATACATTGTTGCTGAATTATACATATTAGGCAGGCACAAAAAAGGAATAAAATTATTATAAACTTAACTATTCAAGATTAGTACATAATTAATCAATAATTACTTAATCTTGATACATACTACAAAAAAATCCCTGCAAACTTAAAATAACTTTATATTTAATAAAGTTATAATAATATTCTGTTTTATTTATCCTCAGAACCTGATACCTTCCTTGGGCTTGAGAGGGTAACAAACCTGTACCTCGACAGGAATGCCATTTCCATCATATCCCAGCATGCATTCCGCAGCCTACCTCTCCTCGCAAAGTTGCAGTTGAAAGAGAACCGTCTGCGTTCCGTGCCTGTCAACGCCCTCCTGCCGCTTTCAGCACTGAAGGTTGCAGGCCTGGAAACAAACCACATCACCACAATCGACAGCGAAGTCCTGCGTCTGAGCCACATCCAGGCCTTACGGCTTTTCTTAGCAAAAAATCCGCTGAAATGTGACGCGAATCTCACCTGGTTCATCTGTCATCTGCCAGAGTTGGATCACATCTATGTCAGTGACTCCCTGAAGTGTGCGTCACCTGCCAACCTGAGCGGCATTTTGCTTGCCACCGTGAGGAAGGACATCGGTCAGACCAACATGGGCTGGTCACCACAGGATATCAGGTCTGGGAGATGTGACAAAACGTCCACCGCAACAGGTCCACATACCAGTCAACGACTGTACAACGACACCATTCCCACAGAGATGCCATACACAAACGCCACCCCAGGCTCAGAGTACCAGGCTACAACTACAAGCCAGGCTACAACCAGGACAGACATTGTCACTCTTCCAAGTTTTGGCCCAATCCTCACCGAGGAGGATGACAGTTACCACGTCAATGCCATCATCATGGCTGTTACTGTGCCCCTCCTCATGGTGTTGGTATGGGTGGTTGTCTTCTGCTTGTACGAACGCTGTCACAGCACAGGTATGGCCCGTCACAACGCCCCTGCTGAAACGGATGGAAACTCCACCCCTTCGGACAGAGACTCAGTCACAGGCAGACGACCGAGTCCTGTTGAGGACCAGACATCAGAAGGCAACGATGACATTGAGCCGTACGCTGTGTCATACATGGATGTGTCGGGGAAAGGGAAAACGGCAAGCTTGCACCGTACGCAACAACTTCCTTGCTAACATCAAGCCAACAGAACCAGACAACAATGACATCCAGCCAATTGAAGAGAACGATGACATTGAGCCATACGCTGTGTCATACATGGATGTGTCGGGGAAAGGGAAAAACGGCAAGCTTGCACCGTACGCAACAACTTCCTTTGCTAACATACAGCCAACAGAACCAGACAACGATGACATCCAGCCAATTGAAGAGAACGATGACATTGAGCCGTATGCTATGTCATACATGGATGTGTCGGGGAAAGGGAAAAATGGCAAGCTTGCGCCGTATGCAACGACCTTCATTAATGAAGACCCAGGGCCACAGCTTCAACCATACGCAGTGACCCATGATGAAGACCCAGGACCACAGCTTCAACCATACGCAGTGACCCATGATGAAGACCCAGGACCACAGCTTCAGCCATACGCAGTAACCCACGATGAAGACCCACGGCCGCACCTGACATCAGACGTCATGCATCCAGTCACCCAACCAAGGGTTCAGTCACTGCCAAGAGGCTGCATGAGGGCAGGTTATATGTCACTGACAAATGTCACTAACCAACAGACAACAGATGCCACACAAGCAAGGGGCCAGTCACTGCCAAGAGGCCATACACTAGCAGGTTATATGGCACTGACAAATGTCACCAACAAACAGGCAATAAACGGCACTCAACCAGTCAGACGATCAAGGGATCAGTCACTGCCAAAAGAGGCCAACATCAAGCCAAACTATGAAAGAGGCTGTTTGTCATCAAGAGACAACAGGGGTCCTTACGGAATGGAGGGGAAGGAGGTCCCAAGTGTCAGTGGGACGCTGCACAGGAGTGGCTCACAGCACATTGGTGCTGAGGACAGTACATCTCACAGGCTGTACAACACAGCTCATGGACAGAATGAGAGCGAGAACAGCACATCTCACAGGCTGTACAACACAGCTCACGGACAGAATGAGAGTGAGAACAGCACATCTCACAGGCTGTACAACACAGCTCACGGACAGAATGAGAGTGAGAACAGCACATCTCACAGGCTGTACAACACAGCTCACGGACAGAATGAGAGTGAGAACAGCACATCTCACAGGCTGTACAACACAGCTCACGGACAGAATGAGAGTGAGAACAGCACATCTCTGTATAGTGGATCATCCTTAGACCCTTAGCTGCCTAGAGATGTATTGTTATTGTTCATGACGTACATGTACATGTACTTAGTATTTATTATATCTTATTGGTATTTTAGAAATCTAATATTTTAAATATTGTGGCATCATCATTTTATTAACAATTTGCATGTGCTGTGTTCAATTGTGTGTGCCTTGATAATGGCTGTGAGGTGTAACAAAATTACTCTATAGCCCAACACTCAGTAATGTTTTTTCACTGACTGAGAAATAAACAATAATTATAATTTTCTCACTAGACTGTACTTGACTGAGAAATAAACCATTGGAATACAATTTTTTACAAATTTTCATGAATTCAGAATCATGTTCCGTACGTTGGTCAGACTGTTTTAATGACTTAAATCAAACAAACCGTAAAATGGATGAACCATTAAATGCAAGTTAAAATGATTGATGTTGAGAAGTCTGAACAGACCCCACAAGCATACCACTTTCAAACCGCATCGCTTTGATCCAAGCTCTCAGCCTGTGAGGGGAATACATGGCATAACATGCAAAAATGCCATGTACTGATGAAAAATGCCATCTTGCCATTATTTAAAATGAGTCTCCTAAAGGCACTTTTTCATCAGTACATGAATGCCATGTATGCCCCTCAAGGACTGAGAGCTCAAATCAAAGAGATGCCGTTTGAAAGCGGTATGATTAATTTC